GTTGGGAGGAATTCCGTGGGAAGCTTCCATAGAGGACAAAGGAGCTAGCGAGTGCTGGGAGTTTTTCAAGAACACTCTCCTGGAAACACAAAACAGTTCATCCTCTTTAAAGGTAAGGAAACAGGGAGAGCAAGAGACCTCCTTGGCTTAACTGTGAGCTGAGTCTGGCCAAAACCAAGAGAGGCATACCAAAGATGGAAAAGCAGACAAATACCCATTGAGAACTACAAGGGCATTGCCAGGGCCTGCAGAGATGCAGTCAGAAAAGCAAAAGCTCAGCTTGAATTGAAATTGGCCAGAGATATCAAACACTACCAGAAAGGGATCTTCAGGTACATAAATAACAAGCAGAAACAGAGGAAAATATTGGCCCACTGTTAAACAGGAGAGGTGAACTAGTCACTAACAATGCTGAAAAGGCAGAAGTTCTCAGCACTTTCTTCACCTCTTTTACCAGCACTGTTGAGCCCCAGGCCTTTGGAACAAAAACCCAGGCTGACGCAAACAGACCCACTGTCAGTGAAGGAAGAGTTGGTATGTGAACGATTATAGGAGCTTGACCCCTACAAATTGATGGGCCATGACACTATCCACCCAAGGGTGTTGAGAGCAGGCTGATGTCATTGTGAGACCACTCTCCATAATCTTTGCGTAGTCGTGGAGATTGGAGGATGTCCCAGAAGACTGGAAGAAGGCTAGTGTCACCCCCATCTACAAGAAGGGCTTAAAGGATGATCCAGGAAGTTATAGGCACATCAGTCTTACTTCAGTCCCTGGGAAAGTTATGGAATGAATCCTCCCTCCTAGGGGGTATCACAAGTCAAACGAAGCACGTGATTGGGAAAAGCCAGCACAGATTCGCCAAGGGCAAATCATGCTTGACAAACCTGATCGCCTTCTATGACAAAGTAACCCACTCAGCTGATGCAGGGCAACCAGTGGACACTGTTTACTTGGATTTCTCCAAGGCTTTCAATATGGTTTCACACAGCCTCCTCCTAGAGAAAGTGATGCGTTATGATCTGGACAAGCAGTCCTGGCAGTGGGTGGGAACTGGCTGAGGGGCCACGCCTAGGGATGGCGGTCAATAGCTCCTTTTCAAACTGGCAACCTGTCACAAGTAGAGTCCCCCAGGGATCGATGTTGGGCCCAACACTGTTTATCTTCATAAGCAATCTAGATGATGTAATCAAGTGTACCCTGATGAAGTTTGCCAATGATGGGGAAGTGGACACTTTGGAAAGGAGAGCCACCCTACAGGAAAACCTGGAGAGGCTGGAATAGTGAGCTAACAAGAACCTTATGAGGTTCAACAAGGACAAACGTAAGGTCTTGCACCTGGTAAAACATAATCCAGGAGTACAGCACAGGCTGGGATCTACCTGGCTGGGGACCAGCTCTGTGGAAAGGGACCTGGGGGTGCTGGTGGACTACAGGCTCAATAGGAGTGAACAGTGAGCTGCTGCAGCAAAGGCGGCCAACAGGGTGCTGGGTCACATGAACAAGGGCATGCATCATGAGCAGAGAAAAAAGTCATTACCCCACTCTACTCAGCACTGGTCAGGCCACACCTGGAATACTGTGTTCAGTTTTGGTCCCCACTATTCAAAAAAGCTGTGGACGGGCTGAAGAGGGTCCACAAAGATCAAAGGACTGGGAAGCCTGCTCTGTGAAGAAAGGCTGAGAACTGGGTTTGTTCACCCTTGAGAAAAGAAGGCTTAGGGGAGACCTTATCACCATGTTCCAGTATTTAAAGGGTAGCTACAAAGAAGATGGAGAGTCCCTTTTTACAAGGAGTCACATGGAAGAGATGAGAAGTAATGGGTACAAGTTACTCCTGGAGAGATTCCAACTGGACAGAAGAAGAAAATTTTTCACAATGAGAGCATCAGCCATTGGAATGACCTTGCCAGGGAAGTGGTAGATTCCCCAACACTAGATGCTTTTAGGATTCAGCTGGACAGGGTGCTGGGCCATCTTGTCCAGACCGTGCTTTTGCCAAGAAAGGTTGGACCAGGTGATCTTTGAGGTCCCTTCCAACCTGGTATTCTATGATTATACTGATAAATTGGAAGCATGTGAAATGTTTACATCTTTAACAGCAGCTTCTAACAAAGCAGAAGCTTCTTCACATTAAATATTATATTCAGTATTCCCCCCTCCTCTTAAGTATTAAATTGTGTTGATGTATTATTTGTTCTTTACCAGAAGTTAATCGTTAACAATGCAGAATGTGTCTAGTGATAAAATGCAGAGACAGGCAGAGCTATTTGAAGATAGCGCTGAAAGATCCTGTGTGGACATCTGCACAACACTATTGTCCAGAGGGAACCAGAGTACCATCAGTGTCACTCACATACAAGATATCTTTGTAGCCTAATAACAAGACAGAAAAAGAACATTATCTGAAGCAATTTTCTTTTTCTTGGAAAAGTCATTTCATTTGTTAGGGTTTGTAAGGTACAGAACACCCCACAAAACCATCATTCATATATATATACACGCATGTGTATGCATACACTGCACTGACTAGAGCACCTTATGTTTAACAAGGCTGTTTCTAAGGATGTGGAATGAAACTCCAAAATTTCACAGACATAAGGCCACTTACTCACACTTCCTTTCACTGCTGGAGTTAAGCATTAAGTTCATGCTATGATCAAAGAACACTTCATAGACAAACTATTTGTCCTCATGTTCCTCACAAGAAATAGTTAAAACTAATTTTCTATCAAATACATAACTTTGTCTCTGTTAAGCCACTTAGGCATTGTATTATCTGCCTATTCATTGTTACCAGGAAATAACGCCATATAAAGCAGAGACAAACTAAGCACCTAACAATGTCTTAAAAGTTATTATAATGATCTATACAATAGAAATTATTTGGAGGAAGGTAACAACATCTGCAAAGATGCCTTCTTGTCAAAGGAAGAAAGTTACAATGGCAACAATTTCATTGGCACTGCAATTAAAATGAAGAATCAAGTTAATTAACAGAAGTTTCGTATACGCATTTTAATAAGTTATAGTAGTCTGTTACAGTTTAACTTAGTGAAAGACAGCAAGCCATTGATCAGTGGTAGCATAATAGCAATAAGAATCAAGATGCTCAAGGAAATTTGGAAACTGGGAAGAAATTTCAGTGTGAGTTAAAGTCATGAGACAAATTAGGTTACAGAATGCAGTGCTTCATGAAACAGTTGGGTTTGATCCAGACAAGCATTTCCAGGTTGTCAAACAGAAATTTTTTAATGTCTGTTGAGTAAGACATTATATCAACTAACCAAATTAATTAGAAACAGCAAAAATAGAACCGGAATGAAGATACGGTAATTTGGTTTTTTTACAATCCTCTTCCCCAAAAAATGTATGTAACAAGGCACATTAGGAGAAATATCTTCAATTGGTTTATTATTCAGTTTGACTTAAATACCTGAAAGCAGTTCTGTCATAATTTAAGACAATGGGGAGAAGTTGAAATTGCCTTTTACAGATGTAATAATTTCATTGTCTACTAAAGTGCAATTATTGTTATGCCAAAAATTATCAGCAGAAAGTAAAAGCCACAAGACAGAAAACCCAAACCATGAAAGACAAGTAAGTTTTTGAAGACATTCAAAATAATAAGAATATATGTATTCAGCTACATCTTAAAGCAATTCAAAGCCAAAAACGTAACACTGAAAAGGTTTCTAAACCTATGTTTTACCTTGTGCCCTACAAAGCCTGTAACTTTGTGCATTTTCCAAACAAGACTTAAACTTTTAAAGAAAACAAAAAATATTAGCATCCTTAGCACTTTAAAAAAACCCAAACAAATAGTTTATCTGGAATAAAGGCAGACAGGTTAATTCATAATATTTTGAAGCATTAATCAATATGACTGAATTGTAAGTTATATTTTAACCATGTTGTTTTAGCTATGCAGTAGGTGTCAATGGTTTCAACAGTCCTGAAAATTTTGACATCTTAACAGCAAAACCTTTGAGCAATTTACTCTTCCTGTCACCATTAAAAGCTGGCTGCTGAAAAGCATTCAGTTGAGGAAAGATGTAAAAGATTCATTATTCCTCACACAGAACTTTGTGCTCTTTAAATTTTGCATTTCATAAATAATTAGTAATTAGACTTAAAATTTCTATTCACTCAAACATTCACATTTAAGACATTTCACATGCACAACACTACCATCCCTTTTAAACTAGAAAAGCAAGCTCTACTAAAAGCTAAGTATTCAAAAGTTCCAGGTATCTTAATCTTTCCAAAGATACAAAGTGTTCAGAAACAAGGTAGTAAATACATTAGGCTGCCCCACTTCCAAACTTTTGGACAATAGTAACAATTTTATTAAACTTAATGTTTTTGTTCGGTAGAAAACCAGTGTATTATATTTTTATCCCTTTCCATTTTCCTTAGAGTTGTATTCTCTTAAAGTCTGTTATATTTGTGTGTCCTTTAAAGAACAAACATAGGGTTAAGAGTCCTATCAGTGCTTAAATAAATATAGGGAGCTTATTTGCAACAAGTAGCCTTTGAGGTTTTCAAAAGGGCTAGTAGTCATCTGTGTCTTTAAGACAAAATAATTTCAAGGAAAGCATCAACTTAAGATTTGTTTATGCATAGACAGCAGATTGTACTTAGTAACCCTCACGGTCTCCTTAAACCGCTGATTTCTGACAAGCTAAAACCATGAAGAAGTTATGCGCTGAGTTTCAGAAAACTGCCATGAGCCTTCTACACAAAGTGCTAATTACATCAGGGTTGCTAAAGCTGTGGTTCTTAAACACCATCAAAATTCATCTACACTTTGCTGTTAGGTGAGTTTCAGAGATTCTGCCAATACAGAAGTCAGTTATCTTGCTATTTCACCTGAATTCAAGTAGAGTGGATGTTCACAGCATTCTTCTATAACTACAATTTTAAAGCTTACCCAGCCAACAGTTAAGAATTAAACTCCAAGTTTGGCACGTACAGCAATTTTCAGGAGCATCCCTTTATTTCATTACAACATTCTTAAGAACAAGGATCCCATCACCAAGCATTAACCTGTCTGGCAGCTATTCAAGGTGCTTCATCTCCACTTTGCACACCTGGATGGCACCTTGCCTATGACTGAGGCACATAAGGCGCGGTGCAGAAGTACGACAGTTCAGACACCAGAGGACAGCCTGTTCGTTTGGCTGAACCTCTAGATTTGTAGTGCACGTTCCACATAGCTTCCTCTCCTTCCACTAGAATTCAAGTTCGTAAGCCGATAAATCCACTTTCAGGAAGCTTCTCTTCAGATTAAAGATTTCTTTAAACTAGTTGATTATTTTTTCCCCCCTTCTACATAAGTCTCAAAGCGTTGCAAGAATTCTTGAAAATGAGATAATTAACATCAGTACTGTCTGTCCAACACCAAAGACAAGAGCCTCTAAGGGAGCCATATTCTTTCCTGCTACTCTGTAAATTCCAGCTACTGCAGCACCTAAGAATCACAGGAAAAACAATGACAAGAAAAACAATGATCAAATCACAGAAAAGCCAAGGTTCAAATATATGACAAATTATTTACCGCATCTATGCATCAGCTATTTATAGAACATTACCAAACACTGTCTTACATCATGGCATTATAGAATTATTAGCCTTGCTTTATTTTTCCAGTTATGCAAGTCCTTCAGGAATGATTTTTCCCAATTGAACCAGATTAACTCTTCCAACATCAATTTGATTTAAGAAACTAGAACCTTGCCATTTCCCTGTAGACATCTTCAAATATTTTCTTACAATTTTGCCTTTTGCTAGTTTGAAAAGGTATGAAAAGAATCCTTTAAAAAATTGACTGCACCCAAAGCATGGTTTAATAGTGCTTGTACAGGCAGAGAGAAGACACCAGTAAAACTGCTCGTGTCTACAAAATAACTGTAAACACACATCTGTCAGCTTCATTTAATATTTTAGATGAATAATCTGGTCATATTCTCTCAGTTTAGTTTTGACTTAAACTAGTAAATTGTTAACAATGATTTAGCAAACCAAGTAAAACATTAAAAACAAATTATTACATTGTTATCCATGAATGTGTATGAGAAGAAATTTCTAACTAATGACTAGATTTTGAGCTATAACATTAAAAATTAAAAGACCATTTTTCTTGTACAGTTGTGTGCAAATTCCCATTTAAAGTATAACATTAAATGGTCAGGATAAACCAGAAACAAAATACTGCATTGTAAACACAGCCAGGTGCTACTAACTCCGTTCTACTGTCTTTCACACACTAAATTTATCACATGCATTTGAAGAACAGAACTCACAGAAAATGTATAGTTGTGATGTCTTGGAGCAAACACCCAAGAGAAAGATGAGTCTCTGCATCAATTAATCAAAAAAATAACATGCTAATGATAACATTTTCTGCTCAAACAACTTCTAAGCCTTTTAAGGATACTAAAATACTCATTCAAAAAAGAAATACAGGCTTGTATACAGTTGTGTCCATACATAAAAAAAGTGTACTCAATCCAAACCTCAAAAGTTCACCTAGAATGAAGCTTTTACTTAGTTCCTGAACTAGTATTTTCTATATAGTGCTTGCTTTCCTTCCCTAAAGAACAAGCATTAAGTTTGTTGTCCTTTATTTCAGAATGAATTAACTTCTCCTGAAGACCAGAACCAAAAATTTAGACCTTCAGTATGTATGGTTTCAGATGCTATCTAATCATAATTAAATGTTTTCCGAGATCACATAGGCTTTCTTTTTCAGGCTCAAAGAAAACTGAAAAGCCACCACAATCTTTTGTTGTTGTTATTTAAATAGGTTAGAGTTAAAAGACTTTGGAATTTTCTTGTTTTACACAGTCACTAACAGGAATAGTCTGCTGATCAAAAACCCATTAGCGACACGGAAATACATTAAGTTCTAATACATTTTCTGAAAGTACAATCCGTATCTGAATCATCTGACATCTTAAAAGTAAGACCTCATTTTTACAAAAATTTTAGGAAGAGTAGAATTCACTAATAATTGTGGCCATAACAGTATTTACAAACACTACTAATCAGACTGTTAGCTAAGTAAGATTCGTCTGTTTGGGTTTTTTATTTTATTTTTTAAATATTCTGCAAAGTATATTTTTGTCAGAAGTAGATCACCAGAAGGCTAGCCTTACGGTATTTCACTCAGCTACCTTGCATAAGCTTTTCCATTTGTTCCTTGACCATCTGCTGTCAAAAACAGAGAGATCCTTTAGGCTGAGCCCAGTACTGACATTAAAGTTATTTTGGTGATTGACCTCTCAAAGTGAATTCAAATCAGCCAAATAGAGATACCAGAATTTGATATTATTAGTTAATCAATAATAGAAATTTCTAGTTTCTTGAAAAAACACTGATATATTCTCAAAAATATCAATAATAAAAACAAAAATTTGGTAGTTTGATAATTATGTATTTATGCTCATCAAATAACAGTGTGCAATATAACCTGTAACACATAACCCAGTAGAAGTGGTATAGAGCCAAAGTATACTGCAACAGGTTGCCAGTAAGGGAAATGAGAATATGTCATTAAAAAGGAGTGTGCTTGAGGAAAGGAGAAAGAACAGAGCCTTCTGGATGTAATATAGCTAAAATCCTTGCCTCAAACTGCCTGACATTTAGCTGTTCTTGGTTGGTTTGGTTTTTTGGACAGTATCCACTGCTATTTAGTAAGTTTTCTATAACCTTTAAGTTCCATGATTTCTCAAAGTCTGGAAACTGAGGGGTTTCCTGCTTTTCTATATGCTGGTAAAATATCCCAGAAGGCCAGAAAGTTTGAAAGACCTACCTGAGCAAAATTAAGCTTGCATTATTTAATAATCTGTACTACATTCATTCACCTAAAAAAATGACACAGAAGACTGGAAATACAAAATGGAAATTGAAGTCAGTTTGCTACTGCAATTTCTTAAAGCACTGGACCATGCATATCCAAACCACTGAATACTTCAACTTGCATCCCAGTTTGCAGCACAGTAGCCATTAAAAAATTACCTCTTTATTTTATCACCCACAGAATTTTTCAGCATGAAATAACACAGTGCTGTCCAGAAAAAAAAATACCTGGAAGTAGAAGTATTTGGCTAACCAAGTTGCAATGTTCTGCACAAAGCCTTTGGGAACAGCATTACAGTCTTAAGCTTGGAGAAATTCTCAGGTGAATTTACACATAAGCAGTACTGCTTACTTGTTAAGTGTTTTGACCTGCAAAATTGGATGCCAAAAATACAACTGTGTTGCTCCTCTTTTTATGCATAGATAAAAGACAAAGTACTTTCATTTAAGAAAAACTGAACCTGAACCTTCCGCACCACCAAACACTGCAGAAGTCTCTGCTCGGATATTCTGGCATCACACTACCTATCTTCAGTTCTTCAGAAACGCTCATGCACAATCGACCTTGTAACAGGGCCACTGCCATTTTAATCATAGGACAAAAGTCAGCATAACCTGTAATGTAAGGCACTCAACTGGTTCCACCTCACCTTAGCAAAAAAGTAGAATTATACTGAACTATACTGCATTAAGTGATGGAAATTCTAGGCTGAGAAATATATAGCAATTAAAAACAACATTTTGAGGAAAGTCTCAATGAAACTTTGAATGAAGTTTTGCATTTGTATTTAACCTTGAAAAATCAATAGGCAAGGACATTCAGTAGGAATAAGAAATAATCCGTCATAAATCATCCATGAATGTGCCCAAAACTGAAGTGATACCCCTATTCTGAAAATCTGGGCAGTACACAGAAAAATTAGAATGAAAGGCAGAAAGGCTTGCCTACAGACTGTGTGACAGTTGCCAGATTTACAGTTCCTTAGCCTCAAAGGCCTTTCAAGTTAGACCATCTTGTCAACAAGACTGAAGATCTTTGGGCAGAAACTACTGCTCAGGCCAACATAGGCCCCATTCAGTCCCTTTATCTTCATGTTGAGAACTCCTTACCAGCATTGTTTCAGACAACGATGCACAAGTCTCTTTCCTCTAAAAAGAATATTCACTATTTCTCCCCACAAAACGCACCATGCTCCTATTTGCTTAGGAAAGCTACTCTGGTCTATTTATAAGCTAGATAAATGCAGCTGGAAGATAAAGCCAAAGACTGAATAAAGTTTCTTACTGATCTTTATATTTCAGTATTGATAGAGATAACTGAATTTCTTAGGAAAGATGGAAAAACAGTATCTGATACTAATAACTCTATTTGAAAACAGCTAAGCAGCATTTCCTCAAACCTTCTTAGTGATATCACTTGTGTGCCATATTTGGTCAGGTGTAACACTTCTGCATTTTACTACATAAGATACTCCTGCTTCCTGCAATATTTTAATGTTAAGCATAGGTTTTAACTATAGCTCTGTGAACCTTTCAGCATGCTGCTTTAACAGAAAAATGGTTAGCACCTTATCTGTGGATACAATGTCAAGACAAAAAAAAGTCTAAAATGTATCTTGAGTGGTAGGCATTAGACTAACACCATAAGAAACTCAAAGAGCATTTTATCTAGAAGAACAGCACAGCTTAATTGGGCGGGAGGGAATTAGAAAAGTCTGTTAGCCTGCCTTCCACTGTACCCCAAGTAAAGTAGAAAGTAACATTATGGCCAAGCCAAGACTGGAAAGTTCTTTCAAATCCATGAGCTGACTGTAACTTCTCCAAACAAATGAATTTTCCTAGCCAGAAGTCACTACCTACACTGCACCTTTATTTCTTTTAAAAGGGCAACATCCTATCCAGGTGCAATTTAAAAACCTCCAGCAGGCCCAAGGAAAGGAGCGGGAATTCAGCCTTGCAACCAATGGAATCAGGACCTCATTTCCAAAAAACTCGTGGCTTTAAGGGCAGTAAGAGGTGATCTTGATCAGAAACCTTTGACAAAAGTATGGTAGGACAGACCTGCTCTTCCTGATCCCTAAAAGGTATTACCTGCTGAGCACACACCTTTTGAATAGCTTGGTACCCAGCATTTCCAAAGTGAAAGAGTAGGATGATTTCTGCACTCCTCTGACAATTTATAGTAGTTTTATCTTTACACAATAGAAGAGCAACTCAGCTGTCATTATCATTAGGATAGCTATATAACTAAGCCAAAATCCTTAATAAACAATTAACAAATGACTGATAAAAAAGGGTGTTTTTTTTCTCTTTAGAAGTTAGATGTAAAATAAGAAAAAACAAAACAAAAATGACAGACTTACTGGTTATCATTGCTCCAGTTATAGAACCCAGAAATCCAATGCTGACCACAATGACAGAGATCAGCCTCCCCTGCCTATGCCTCTGCAGCATCACAAACATTAATACTCCCACAGCACCATGGACAAAGAGAGAGGAGAAGAGAGCCCAGAGGAAAACCCAGTACCACATCTCTGAAAGAAAGCAGTCAAAGTGTTAATATTTCTGAGACAAGAACTTCGTAAGTTAGAAACTTTAAAACATTGCATACAATTAACAGCAAGAGAAAAGCAATACTGATGTCCGTCTTAAAAGGAATCAATGTAAAAACATCAGTATATGCTCAAGACACTTTCCCCCTTTTAGAAGTCTATCAAAGAAATAACTCTATTATGATCAAAAAATTATAAAAAGGATTCTGGCACAATTCTTAATTCAGATGTATTATTGCAAGAAGTCCCTCAGCCTTCTAATGATTTTGTTAAACAACATTAATTGCAATTTCTTACTAGGTATTGTAACTATCCCTGCAGAATGAAACATTCTCTGAAACAAAGACTGAATCAGGAAAAAGTCAAGAATTGTTTGGGGGTTGTTTGGTTTTGTTTGGTTGGGTTTCTTTGTTTGCTTGATTTTGTTGTTGTTGTTACAGTAAGAGACAGCATCAGGTAACATCAAATGGGAAATCTGAGATTAAAAACTTCAGTTTATCTACCCAGGAGCTTTAATAGAGCATTCTATCAAACTAGCTTCAAAGGCACAAATAAAAACACTAGAATTTTAAAAAGGAATTTTAACACATCTAACTCCTTGTTTCTAATTGCTTTGCACAGAACTTCACAGGGACAGGTAGTCACTGTTAAATTACTAAGCAAGTGATGTGCGGAAGATCATGAGAATGTGTGGAGTACAACCACTTCTCTGAAGAATGGCAGACATGATCACTACTTTCAAAAGAAAAGAGCAGGAACCATCAATGAAGCTACGTAAGAATTAAAGAATCTTCCTTACTTGGTGATAATTTTTAAAAAACATTTACTATAACTCAAGAGGGTGGGGAAATGCAACAAAAGGGATTTTTTTTTTTAAGTCAACTACAGTAGGTACATGTCACAGAATTCAGCAAATTGGGGCACATTTTCCTGATTGACATAATCCCATTAAACTGTCATTAAGTCAGATTTTGCTGCAGTTCTCTCTCAAAAAAATAATGCAACTTCTTTGTAACAGCAGGACACTTATTGTTTGAGGTGAGCCTGTATTATTGCAGCTTGAGACACCTCAGTCATTCGAGCAGAAATATCACCCAACTAGCTAACTTGGAAAATGCTTAGCAGCTCAAACAAAACATACTGTGAAAGCATGCTGAGAAAGAATGTGCTACACAATTACCACAGTCCTTTGAGTCCAATGTCAATATTGCATGTATATCCATAGCACAAATACAGAGTTTAAGCTTTTTGATTTAGCAGTACTTTGAGGGTAGACTCAACCCCTCCCCTTTCACACAGGCATAAAAGGCAAAACTATGTCATAGGACTTAGAACTCCTCAAAATTACCGTAACCAAAAGGCTCTCCTGAGAGCAAAAAGGAAGGTGGGTGGTAAACCTACACTGAATTAATACTTCAGCTGTAGCTCAAGATGTAACTTTTCTTTCTGAGTGCTTGGATACACGCACACATATGGAGGGCGGCTCCAGGGAGCTCTCCTCAGATCCGCCACCCCTTCACCCCAGCCCCAAGCGGAGTCTCAAAGATCTTTGCAAAAGGACAGTGATCACAGTACTGTTCCACTAAATCGCTCATCATTCTCAGAAGCTACTGCGACAGCCGTGGCAGGAAGGCCAAGCAGTCACTCTACAAATACCTGACAAACCCCTGCATTAGCATTAAGATAGACTGACTGATTGCTGATCTTATCTGCCATGGCCATGGATAGTTTGGGAGGGGAACCTCTCCTGCCACCCTAACAGGTCTTGTCTGCTACTAGCACAGCTCGGGCATTCCCATTTTTTTTTTTTACTAGTGGAAGCAAATAAGCAAGGAGATCAGCCAAAGGATCTATTAATATAGAACCCGGCCGTCCTGCAAGGCCTACAGTCTGACAATAGGGAAATAAGCCCTCGGAGATGCAAAAGAAAAGTCCACTTTCCTGCAAACATAAATCACATCTGACTTGGGGCAGTAAAACCCTGTCAGGAAGGAACACGTTCCCTCTTCCAGTCTACCTCGGCGCTACCAGGGAACACCCTTTCAATGAAAGATGTCACAACACCAGATTCCTAACAGCTCAAAACACTATTCTATCAAAACAGTAACAACTAAGGTCCTGTCCCATGGGGGATCATTTCCTTGAGCAGCAAGTAGACTGTTAGCAGATACTTAATAGACTTTGAGGTATGGACTGAGCAGACTATGGTTCAGCAATAGACTGAACAGGTCCTCAAGTCTAAACTGCTTTGGCAATGCTGGCAGTGACAAAACACAAGATCTATCTTCCACTTTACCATATGAATAACCATGAAGAGCAAAAGTTAGAGAAAAGAACTCTAATATGGGAATTAAGAATGTATCTAGTAGGCAAGAGCAAGCACTTCCTTGCTTGCAGATGTTGATCTCTGAAGACTTTCAATCCTAGAAGATACTACGTGCATACCTTAGATATCCCATTTTAGTTCTTCACAGTAACGTGGTTGAGCCCATCTCCCAGATTATTCAGAGAAGCACAAAACTAAACTGCTGGCAGGTGAATGAGATGCTGAATGTATCATTTAAGAAGATAACTTGTTCTTACACAGAAAGGGGTGTTTTGCCTTGTTTGCCAGTAAATATTGTAGTGGAGATGCTACTTATTTTCTGGACGCAGCACCTTTTCCTGCAATTAAGTCTGTCACACAATTTTCATACCACTCAGATTATACCAATACGCAAAATACTCAATAAGAGAGAGGCTTGGACCATCAGGACAGAGTGCCGACAATGTTCTCGACCCAAACTTTAATTTTTCTTGACTAAGATGGATGTAAGAGATGAAACATCAACTACCAAGAAGCAGCAGTGGTCTCTTGCAATACTACTAGAATAAAGATAACCCGATACCCCAGTGATGGACTCCGAGAGTACATACTTCAAGTCTGCAGCTGAAGAAAACACTTGGTTCTTATGTAAGGTTACATGACAACTGCAGGCTTCTAAGACTGCCAAACACTCCGTAACTACACCAGTGGTGTGTTGATTACTATTACCCCATCAGTTCTTCCACAGTCTAAAAACAAACTTCTGGAAGGAGGGCTGCTGTGGATACTGAATTCAGGCAGGTATCAACTGATTTCATAAAACTGCACCAGAATGATACAAACTTGTCCACACTTAACATGAAGCCCAAGAACACAAGGCTCAGTTACTGAAGGTGAGAGGGGACCTGCGATGACAGCAGCCTATTTAGCAGCCAGTTATTCTAAAGTGAACCGCCAATACGTAGATATGCCATGGGGAGGAGAAGCAAAGCTCTTGATAGTGTCTCTCTGCAAATGCACCTGAGGGAGAGCCCCAGGATGCTGAAAGCTGTGCTTTCAGTCATTCTCTCCTAAAATGCCACTGCGGCTGAAAAGCCTGAAACGGGACCAAGAATATCCTTTGGAATCTGACTCTGTTGGACACCGTCATTCCCTGTAACTTCCACAGGGTTTACTAGGCACTACACTACCTTTTTGGAAATCAGTGTTTGTGGTTGTCGTTGACCCTCACCAGGTAGAAAAGGCAATTGATTTCCAGTCTTAGGAAGACTAATTAGGATGACTCTATTTTTAGAAGAAAATGAAATATTATGGGAAGGCTAACTACTCCCCTGTAACCAAGAAACCAAAAATATTTGCAAATCCTTACACAACAAAAAAGCTGCATAGTGAGCAATAGGTCTTACTTACATTCCAAATAAGGATCAAGGAAAATTAGAATCACCCTTCACTTTATATTTAGGGCAGGAGATACAAGAATAGATCCAGCCCCAAATGTCCCATCGGATAAAAGAATATAAAGTTGAGTTCTTTGGTACACACTTTCTTCTCCCACTCAAAAGCAACACACATATTGAATGCATTCAAAAGGAAATTAGAGAACATCCTAGAAATATTCCTTGTTCCACACAAACACAGCTGTGGCATTTAAAGATACCAGTGACAAGCCATCACTTCACAGAGGCTTAGGTTTCCAAGTCAGTAGCATTGTAAAGTCAGTGATGCAAGAAATACAGGTAGTGTTACACACACCTGCAATAACCCAGTACCACCTTCTTACAGATTATCCATAATAGCTTATAATTTTGCAAAAGTGACTGGAGATGCTAAAACTTGTAGGCGTTTCACTTTAGAAGAGTTGGAGGGGAACGGGGTGGAAGGAGGGACCACCTTCGTGTCCAGCTGAAGATAAGGAGGAAAGACCAAAACTTTGTTTATTTGGAAAGGAGACAGAAGAGGGAAGGGGGAGTTGTGAACAGAAGAGTTAGGGACATCGGCCTGTGGTACTCCTGTTTGCAGCAGGGTGAGGCACACAGCAAGCAGTGGAGTTAGCCATCTTTGTCCTGTTAGCAGGCAAATTGCTTCTAGGTCATCTTCTATTTGGAGCTGCTTTTATTTTGGGCAACTTCATCAAGTACATATGCTCTATATCATCCACTCTCCACCAACTTACATACCTAAATTTGTTAAATGAAAGTAGTTGAAAAGCTTTTCTTTACCAAGACATAGACAAGCTATGAGCAGAGAGACTAGAAGGGGTTTTTTTGGTCCTTCCCCTCCCCTCACACACATTCTTGCTAAAGATTCTCACCTACCTCAACCAGACCTGGATTTTAAAAGGGAAGGAAGATAAAAGTCTCCCTGAACAGGAAACAAAGCACAACTCCACCACTTTGTCCTGTGGTTGGAAATATTCTAGCATCTCTTCTCAGTACCAAGAAAGCTCTAATTTCCTAGAATCTTTTTTTTTAAAACAGTTATTAGCAACGAATAGATAATTTATATTGTTGCATCGTGACACAAAATAAAAAGGAATAATCTCACTGATCAAATATTCTGGAATGATAGCTTACCTAATCATCATAGGACAGCAGCATTTCAATATCTGATATCAAAGAAATTGAGAACTCGATCACATAAAGCTTTTTAATCATCAATTTAGACCATTCCTTTGTCTT